GGGAGACACCAACTAGAGCACATGGCTGCAGCGAAGAGGGTGTTGCGCTACTTGTGCAGTACGTCGGGCATGGGGCTAGTGCTTGGAGGGCGGAGTCCAGTGGTCCTCACTGGGCATGCGGACGCTTCTTGGGCTGACGACCAGGCTACGCAGCGGTCGTCACAGGGTTACACCTTCAGTCTTGGTTCCGGCTCTGTGTCGTGGCGGGCTACCCGCTCGTCTTCTGTTCTCGGCTCCAGTTGTGAGGCTGAGATCTACGCCGGGGCTATGGCTGCACAGGAGCTTCGCTGGCTCACCTACCTGCTGACCGACCTTGGAGAGCCGCCTCGTTCTCCTCCAGTCCTGTACGTCGACAACAAGGCCATGCTGGCCTTGTGTCGAGAGCAGCGACTGGAGCACAGGACAAAGCACATTGCTCTCTGCTACTTTCTTGCTCGTGAGCTACAGCAGCGTGGACAGTTGCGGCTTGCGTACGTGGCCTCTGAGGCCAACACTGCTGATGTCTTCACCAAGGCACTTGCGCCTTGTGATCATCAGCGCTTCTGCACGCAGCTGGGTCTTGTGCCTGTCTTGCCTCACTTGCTCACTTCTTGATCTTGCTTGTACTTTCACATATATATACTCTTGCTCTTGCTTGCTTAGACTCTTGTATATCTATATATGTGATCTTGCATGTGAACTGGCCTTCTGGCCTTTGAACTTGTGCTCGGAATGTGTGGTGACTTTGTGATCCACCTTGAGCTTTGCTTTGCTTTGCTTGACTGGTCTTGTGACCCCTTGTTCTCCCCCACTTTTCCTATGGGGGTGTGTCAGAACATTATAGCTTATATATATTTGTGTAGGCTATAGTGGGGTATCCCATAGGGGGTACAACCCAATCAGGGTTTCCTATATGTACTCACTTCATTCATAGTTGATTCATTCTCGTTCTAGTTTTCTCACTTTGACCCAAGCCAGCGTGGATGTCTGATGGTTCAATCGTGGGTCTTCACGATGAACGTCTTCTTCGACGCGAATTACGTCGAGTCGGATGCAGCGAAGATTCGGTATGCAGTTTTGCTGCTAAGGGGCCCCGCCATGGACTGGTGGCAAGTCATCGTGACGTCGCCACGCGTCTATGAGCCACCGTCGCAAGAGGAAGGGCCCACGGGACCAGCTGTCACCCGGAGTTCATTCTGCGAGACCGCCCAATACAGCACGTGGGATGCGTGGTGCGCAGGGCTTCGTGCGCACTTTGAGCCGATCGCGGCTTCTATTTTGGCGCGTCAGAGATTGCGCACTTGGCGGCAGCTCGGGTCGGTTCAAGATTACACGAGCGGTTTTCTCGCACTTTGCGAGTAGGTCGGCTACATGCACGAAGCGGAGCGGGTGGACCGTTACGTCGGAGGGCTGAAGCCGGATATCTCGCACAAAATCATGCTGCGCGGACTCTCAAACTTCAACGAGATTCTCGCGCTCGCCGAGAAAATCGACATTCTACGCCGACCGAGACCGGGGTCCCACTGCGTACATCGTCCTCGGGGACCAATCGAGCACGCCACTGTAAACGCTGTTGCAACGAATGCAGCTGCCGCACCGTTTAAGGGGCGCTGCTTTGCTTGCAACAGGTCGGGCCATCGCAAGAGCGAATGCCCAGAGGAGCTAAGGCGCCGCGGAGCAGAGCAGGGGAGGGAGTCTCAGAGGCAGGGAAATGCCAGCAGTCAGTAGAAGTTGGGCCAACTACTGACGAGACCGCCTGCTCGCCCAACCACACCGACCCTCACCGAGTCACAGTACTGATTCACGCCATCGATCGGGCTTGGATGAACAAGGAGGGTACAACGACTGATTGCCCAGTACTGTTCCACGGGAAAATACAGGGAGCAGCAGTGAAGATTTTTATTGACGGAGGAGCAAGCCACATTTTAGTTAATACCGCAACTGCGCAAAAATTACAACTGACACTTAGTCGCTGCTTACCTGAGATCGATGCTCGCTTAGTTTATGGCACGCCGCTGGCCATACGGGAGAAGGTGGAGAGAGTAAAAGTTCGCTGCGGGGGAAACTTCGGGTTTACACAGGAAATGCTCGCGACGACATTGGATGGGCATGATGTTTTACTGGGACGTGATTGGCTACGATGGTACAACCCACGAATCGACTAGACGACGGGTAGCTGCACTGTGCGAAGTAGCGGTAACTGGGTCATGCTACCTCGCTGGCAGTCGCCCGAGTCCTTAACGGTCCACGTCAACGCCATCACGACGAGACGGGTTGTCGCCGCTGGAGGTGACGTGTACGCAGTAGATATAGCATTAGTAGAAGAAGCGGAGCAGCCGAGCGATTTTCAGAAACTGTTGGTAGCAGTACTGCCCGAACTACAGGAACTGTTGAAACGGTACCCGGGGATGTTTCCAAACGACTTACCGGAAGGGCTGCCACCTCAGCGGGCGCATGATCATAGGATCGAGTTAGAACCGGGGGCGCAGCCAACTGTACAGCGCCAGTCCAGACTGACACAGCCCGAGCTCGACGAACTGAGGAAGCAGTTAGATTATTTGTTAGAGAAGCAGTTTATTCGACCAAGTTCGTCACCGTTCGCCGCACCGATACTGTTCACACCGAAAAAAGATGGAGGGTTTCGCATGTGCATCAATTACCAAGCGCTCAACAGGGTAACAGTCAAGTCGCGGTACCCCATTCCCCGCGCCAACGAACTGATCGACCAACTGCGAACAGCACGGGTGTTTTCGAAAATAGACTTACGGGGGGGTTACCATCAGATTCGGGTCGAACCATCGGACTGCGCCAAGACAGCATTTAGGACTAGGTACAGGTCGTTTGAGTACACGGCGATGCCTTTCGGGCTGACCAATACGCCCGCAACATTCCAGATGACCATGAACGAGGCGTTTAGACCACTCTTAGATAAATGCGTGATAGTTTACCTCGACGACATCCTCGTCTACAGTCGCGACAAGCAGCAGCATTTAGCGGATCTCGAAGCAGTATTTAAAGTTATAGCAGAACATCGGTTATTAACCAAGGGCTCTAAGTGCGAGTTTTTTCGGGATAGACTTGTCAAACTTATATGATCTAGCCTGTGTAGGCTGTAGCGGGTTAGACACTAAGGGGTACACAATTCTAGGGTTTCATATTTGTATCACTTTCATTCATTAGTCATTCATTCTCGTCCTAATCTCCGCATGGTATCAGAGCAGGTTCCCTCATGGGAATTGTTCCTAGGGCCCACCGAATATCGACTTTTTTTTCCTGCCCGGAGCGCACTTAGCCCCTGCCCGAGTCGCGCCCCGTGTGGATCCCCTTCGTGGCCTATAGCGGCCCCTGTCACGGCCCCTAGTGGCCCCGTCGCGCCGTCCTCACGGCCCCGTCGCGCCGCCCTCACGGCCCCGTCGCACCGCCCTCGCGGCCCCTCGCGGCCCCTTCGCGGCCCCTTAGCGGCCCCTCGCGGCCCCGTCGCCGCCTCCCCCCCCTTTTCAGCGGCCCCGTCGCCGCCCTCTCAGCGGCCTTGTCGCCGCACTTTTAGCGGCCCCGTCGCCGCCCTCTCAGCGGCCCTGTTGCCGCCCTTCAGCGGCCCCGTCGCTGCCCTTTCAGCGGCCCCGTCGCTGCCTCTTAGCGGCCTCGTCGCCGCCCTTCAGCGGCCCGGTCGCCGCCCTTCAGCGGCCCCGTCGCCACCCTTCAGCGGCCCCGTCGCCGCCCCTTTCCGCGGCCCCGTTGCCGCCCTTCAGCGGCCCCGTCGCCGCCCCTTTCTGCGGCCCAGTCGCCACCCTTTCAGCGGCGCCATCGCCGCCCTTCAGCGGCCCCGTCACCGCCCTTCAGCGGCCTTGTCGCCGCCCCTTTCCACGGCCCCGTCGCCACCCCTTCGCGGCAGCGACGCTGCCCTTAACGGCCCCGCCGAGCCGCCTTCGCTGCCGAGCCGCCGAGCCGCCGACCTGCCGAGCCGCTGCGCCGCCGAGCCGCAGAGCCGCTGAGCCGCCGAGCCGCCGACCTGCCGAGCCGCCGAGCCGCCTTTGCCGCCGAGCCGTCGAGCCACCGAGCCGCACTGCAGCTGAGACGCTACCGCCTGCCGGCCTGCCCCGGACCGCCTCACTTGCCCAGTAAGAGCAGCGCCCTGCAGTGCCCTACCCCACTGTACTTACTGCCTGTCTACTGCTATCATGGCCACCCCTAGTGTTCTCTCCTTTGACGCTGAGGGTCGGGCTGTTGACTTTGAGGTCAGGGTAGATGATATGCAGCTTTTCCTATAGTGCGATAGGGCAGAAGGTCTCTCCCTGTTTGACCTCACTTCTGGTGCCTCTCCTGCCCCTGCTGCTGATGCTGACTCCACTATTCGCTCACAGTGGGCCACGCGCGATGCTGCTGCCCGCCTTGCTGTGTGCCACCACTTACCGACCGCTGAGTGCGCGCATTTTAGCCAGTACAAGAGTGCTAAGGGCAAGGGCAAGGGCAAGGGGGGCAAGGGCGCTGGAGGAGCTGTTGGGGGCGGTGGAGGCGGCGGTGGAGGCGGCGGAGGGGGTGGGGGTGGCGGTGGGAGTGGTGGCGGGGGTGGGGGCGCTAGTGGCGGCAGTGGAGGCGGAGGAGGCGGTGGTGGTGGCGGTGCGGGCGGAGGTGGCGGAGGTGGAGGCGGTGGTGGAGGTAGCGGCGGCGGAGGTGGAGCTAGTCGGGGCGGCTCTACACAGAGGGTCGGCTCCGATGGTGGTCAGCGCCAGCAGCAGTAGCAGCAGCGCACTTATGAGACCCCTTCCCCCTAGCAGCTTCGTGAGTGGTACGCTGCTCGTCAGCGGGGTGGGGGTGCTGGCCCCTGTACCTACGTTCTACGCACCAGCGACCGCGCGGGTGAGCAGTGTGGGGGTCCGCACTCCACCCAGCGCTGCTTTGGCTGCCTGACAGACGCGTGGCGTCATCAGTTCCCCGACGCTACTGAGATCCCTCGTTGGGGCGAGCTGTCTAGGGCGGGTGTTGCGATCTTTGATCTTGATGATGATGCTATTCTTGCTGCCATGTATGCTGTGACTATTAGTGATGAGGGTGACTGTTACCGGTGTTTTCCGCCTGTCTCGGGCATTGAGGCTGCTGCTCTAGGTGCTGGTGAGGCTGCTCCTCTAGGTGCCATTGAGTCTGCTGCCCCAGGTACAGGTGAGTCTGCGCTCTCAGGTACCGCGTCGGCTCCGGCCACCCACACCTTCACCCTTGACTCGGGTGCTTCCCGCTCCTTCTTTCGAGACCGCACCACGCTCACGCCGCTTCGCCGGCCAGTGGCAGTCTCCCTGGCAGACCCCTCTGGGGGTCCTGTCCTTGCCCACTTCTCCACTGTCCTACCGTGTCCAGCGGCCCCTTCTGGCACCCTGTCAGGTTTTTACCTCCCCTCGTTCTCTACGAACTTTGTGAGTGGTGCTGACCTCCAGGATGCAGGGGTTCACCAGTTCACTCCTTCGAGTCGGCGAGTGACTCGCTGTACCTGTGCTCGGACGGGCCGTCACTTGGCCACGTTTACCCGTCAGCCGGGGCGAGCCTGTACACACTGACTACTGAGTCTCCTCCGAACGCTGAGTCTGCTCAGGTAGCCGCGTCGGGTCAGGTGTTTGCTGCGGCGTCCAGGTCTGGTCCTGAGTCTTCCCCCTCCTCATGTCGTCTCCTGTCTCACCAGACTCTCCTCTGGCACCACCTCCTTGGTCACCCATCCCTGCCTCACTTTCGAGGCATGGCCTCCTGTGTCCTTGTCTCTGGTCTCCCCCGTTCCCTCCCTCCCCTTCCTCCGGGGCCTGCCCCCACCTGCGTTCCCTGCGTCGAGGGGCGGCAGCGCGCTGCTCCTCACTCCTCCGAGTTTCCTCCGATAGAGGCTCCGCTGCAGATGCTTCACATGGACGTGTGGGGCCCAGCCCGCGTCCGTGGATATGGTCACGAGCGTTACTTCCTGCTGGTGGTTGATGACTACTCGCGTTACACCGCAGTCTTCCCCTTGCGCAGCAAGGGTGAGGTCATTGAGGTGTTGATCGCCTGGATCCGCTTAGCTCGTCTCCAGCTCAGAGAGAGTTTTGGCTCGGACTTTCTTGTTCTGCGTCTGCACTCTGACAGAGGCGGAGAGTTCTCCTCTGACCTTCTGCGAGCCTTCTGTCGTGCACGAGGCATCCGCCAGACCTTCACGCTTCCGGACTCTCCGCAGCAAAATGGGATTGCTGAGCGCCGCATTGGCATGGTCATGGACGTCGCTCGTACGTCCATGGTCAATGCGGCTGCCCCCCATTTTCTGTGGCCGTTTGCGGTTCGGTAAGCGGCGCATCAGATCAACCTTCAGCCCCGGGTCTCCATGCCAGAGACCTCCCCTGCCTTGCTGTGGACGGGGAAGGTTGGCGATGCGTCTGCGTTTCGGGTCTGGGGATCCAGGGCGTTTGTCCGCGACTTGTCTGCGGACAAGCTGTCCCCTCGTGCTGTTCCCTGTGTCTTCCTTGGCTCCCCCCCTAACGCGCCGGGCTGGCAGATCTACCACCCCACCTCGCGCCGTGTTCTGTCCTCCCAGGACGTCACGTTTGACGAGTCGGTTCCCTACTACCGTCTCTTCCCCTACCGCACTGCGTCCCTCCCCCCGCCGCCGTTCTTCCTTACGCCAGGTCCCCCTCCGGTAGACCCCCTCCCCCCTCAGGGTCCTGCCCCCTCAGGTGTGTCTCAGGTAGACGCAGTCGACCCTATCGAGGTAGCTGTTGACTCTGGTGTTGCTAGGGGTGCTGAGCCTTCGGGTGCTGGGTCTGGTGGTGCTGACTCTGGGGGTGCTGAGCGTAGGGGTGCTGACTCTAGGGGTGCTGAGCCTGGGGGTGCTGACTCTGGGGGTGCTGCGCCTGGGGGTGCTGAGCGTGGGGGTGCTATGCCTGGGGGTTCTGAGCCTGGGGGTGCTGCGTCTAGGGGTGCGGAGTCTGAGGGTACTGGACCTGCTCGTGTGGCGTCTGGCGGTGGTGGGCCTGGAGGTTCTTCGGGTGCTTCGTCCCGGTGGGAGCTACTCTCTCCACAGGAGCTGCATGAGTGGTTTGCACGGCGCTAGAGGCGTGCTGCTAGAGCTGGAGGTACTGCGGGCGCTGGAGGTTCTACTGCTGTTGAGGGTGGTGGTGCCGCAGGTCCCGGAGGTGCTCGTACTAGGAGTACTGGAGCTGCTAGGCCTGCGGGTGTGTCTAGTGCTGTAGCTGGTGGACCTACTGCGTCTTCTGGTGGTCCGGTTGGAGCTGTTGTTGCTGGGGGTGTTGGCGTTGAGGGTGCTTCTGGTGCTGGTGCCCCTGAGGGTGCTGGCGTTGGCACTCCTGGAGCTGGGGGTGCTGCTGGCGCTGGTGCTGTCCCTTCTAGTGGTGGTGCTTCTGAGGGTGCTGGCGTTGGTGCTGCTGGCGCAGGTGCTGCCGTTCATGGTGCTGGCGCTGTTCCTGCTGGTTCTGGGGGTGCTGCACGGCCGCGGCCGAAATTCGTTCCGCTCCTTGAGCAGGTTCTTGGTCTTCCGCCCTCCACTAGCAGTGTCCACCGCCTGTCCTGTCTGAGTCACAGTTAGAGCCTACCTCTCCTCTGCATGCTCCTTCTCCCTACAGTGGTCCTACTGGAGGTCTTGTTGAGCGTTGTGAGCCTGCGTCTCGTCCTGCGTTGCCTGTCCGTGCTGCTCGCACTGGTGGTCGTGGTTCGCGTCAACGTCCTTCCCCCGTCCCCGGCACGCACCGGATGTCTCTGCGTCCGTCCACAGCTCCTCTCCGTGCCCCTTTGCCTTCTCCGCCTGAGTCCTCTCTTCCTGCTCTTCCTGACCCGGAGTCAGACTCCCTTCGTGCTGCCAGTCCTAGTGTCACGCGTCTCCTTGCTACTATCATCACTGACCCTTCCTTTGAGTCCACTGCGGCGTCTGCTCTAGTTGCTGAGCTTGTCGACTTCGCTGCTCGCTGTCGTCTAGACTACGCTGCTAGTCTGGTTACTGAGTCTGCGTCTGTCTGTCCTCCGTCCGACGGGGGTGAGTGTGCTCTTGGCACGGACGTCCTTGAGGACACATAGGAGGACCTCCAGTGTCTTGCGGCTGCTTCACATCATCTCGTGTCCATGCTACTTGCCCCTGAGGGAGACCCGGATGCACCAGACATCCCGAATCCGCGCTCTTACGCGGAGGCGATAGAGGGTCCCTACACCTCTAAGTGGCAGGCAGCCATGGACGCAGAGATGGCTTCCTGGAAGTCCACAGGCACCTACGTTGACGAGGTTCCCCCTCCTGGGGCGAACATCGTCAGTGGCATGTGGATTTTCAGGGTGAAGCGGCCGCCGGGTTCTCCGTCTGTCTTCAAGGCGCGTTACGTGGCTCGTGGCTTCAGTCAGCGGCAGGGAGTTGACTACTTCCAGAACTTCTCTCCCACCCTGAAGATGACCACTCTTCGGGTACTGCTGCACATAGCCACTCACTGTGATTACAAGCTTCACTCTCTTGACTTCAGCACGGCTTTATTGCAGGGCAGCCTGCACGAGGAGATCTGGCTGCGCCGCCCACCTGGCTTCACTGGGACTTTTCCACTTAGCACCCAGTGGAGCCTCCGGCGGCCAGTCTACGGTCTTCGCCAGGCACCTCGTGAGTGGCACGACACACTGAGGACTACACTTGCGGCTCTTGGGTTTGCTCCTTCTACTGCCGACCCGTCGCTGTTTCTACGCACCGACACCTCTTTGCCGCCGTTCTACATCCTCGTGTACGTCGACGACTTGGTCTTTGCCACAGCTGACACTACTGGACTCGCCTACGTGAAGTCCGAGCTGCAGAAGAGACACATGTGCACAGACCTAGGTGAACTGTGCAGCTACCTTGGCTTGCAGATGAACCGGGACAGAGCACAGCGCACCATTACCCTGACTCAGTCACACATGGTGCAGCAGGTCCTTCAGCGCTTCGGCTTCATGTACTCCTCGCCTCAGGCCACTCCTCTGTCTACTCGCCACTCGCTCTCATCTCTGCCTTTGGATGAGTCCGTAGAGTCGAGTGGCCCGTACCCAGAGCTTGTTGGCTGCCTCATGTACCTGATGACCTGCACTCGACCTGACCTTGCATACCCTCTTAGCATTCTGGCACGCTATGTTGCTCCTGGGAGGCACAGACCAGAGCACATGGCTGCAGCGAAGAGGGTGTTGCGCTACTTGTGCAGTACGTCGGGCATGAGGCTAGTGCTTGGAGGGCGGAGTCCAGTGGTCCTCACTGGTCACGCAGACGCTTCTTGGGCTGACGACCAGGCTACACAGCGGTTGTCACAGGGTTATACCTTCAGCCTTGGTTCCGGCTCTGTTTCGTGGCGGTCTACCCGCTCGTCTTCTGTTCTTGGCTCCAGTTGTGAGGCTGAGATCTACGCAGGGGCCATGGCTGCACAGAAGCTTCGCTGGCTCACCTACCTGCTGACTGACCTAGGAGAGCCGCCTCGTTCTCCTCTAGTTCTGTACGTAGACAGCAAGGCCATGCTGGCCTTGTCTCGGGAGCACAGACTGGAGCACAGAACGAAGCACATCGCTCTTCGCTACTTTCTTGCTCGTGAGCTGCAGCAGCGCGGTCAGCTGCGCCTTGCTTGCGTGGCCTCTGAGGCCAACATTGCTGATATCTTCAACAAGGCACTCGCGCCTTGTGATCATCAGCGAATCTGTACTCTGTTAGGTCTTGTGCCTACCTTGTCTCACTTGCTCACTTCTTGACCTTGCTTGTACTATTACACATATATATACCTGCTCTTGCTTGTTTAAAGTTATATATATATGTAATCATGCATGTGAACTGGCCTTGTGGCCTTGACTTGTGCTCAGAATGTGTGGTGACGTTGTGATCCACCCTGAGCTTGCTTTGCCTTGCTTTGCTTGACTGGTCCTGTGACCCCTTGTTCTCCCCCACTTTGCCTATGGGGGTGTGTCAAACTTATATGATCTAGCCTGTGTAGGCTTTAGCGGGTTAGACACTAAGGGGTACACAATTCTAGGGTTTCGCATGTGCATCGATTATCGAGCGCTCAACAGGGTAACAGTCAAGTCGCGGTACCCCATTCCCCGCGCCAACGAACTGATCGACCAACTGCGAACAGCACGGGTGTTTTCAAAAATAGACTTACGGGGGGGTTACCATCAGATTCGGGTCGAACCATCGGACTGCGCCAAGACAGCATTTAGGACTACGTACGGGTCGTTTGAGTACATGGTGATGCCTTTCGGGCTGACCAACGCGCTCGCAACATACCAGATGACCATGAACGAGGCGTTTAGGCCACTCTTAGATAAATGCGTGATAGTTTACCTCGACGACATCCTCGTCTACAGTCGCGACAAGCAGCAGCATTTAGCGGATCTCGAAGCAGTATTTGAAGTTTTAGCGGAACATCGGTTACTAACCAAGGGCTCTAAGTGCGAGTTTTTTCGGTACAGACTAGAATTTTTGGGGCACGTTATTTCGGAGGCTGGAGTTGAAATCGACCCAAAGAAGCTGGATACGGTAAAAGCGTGGCGTCCCCTGACGAACATCACGGAACTGCAGAGTTTTTTAGGGTTCGTTAATTATGTTCGCCGGTTCGTCCCCGACATGGTACAGCTGACTGCCCCGCTGACGGATTTACTGCGAAAAGGGGTCGTTTTTACGTGGGGGGAGAAAGAGCATGCTGCCTTCTCTGCCCTGAAAAATGTTCTCTGTTCACCGCCCGTCCTGCGCATCGCCGACCCACACCGCCCCTTTGAGGTTGTTACAGACGCAAGCGACATCGCCATTGGAGCCGTACTGCTACAGGACTTCGGCAACGGCCTACAGCCCATCGCATACGAGTCACAAAAAGTGCATCCGCCCGAGCGAAATTACCCGATACACGACCGCGAAATGCTCTTAATCGTGCATGCATTCAAAATGTGGCGCTGCTTCTTGACCGGCACAGAAGTGACAGTGCGGACAGACCACCGATCACTACAGTACCTCCGCGCACAGCCCCATCTCAACCCAAGACAGATTCGGTGGCTCGATTTCCTCGAGTCAAACTTCCACTACACAGTCACCTATAAAAAAGGAGCCTCAAACATCGCCGACGCACTGACCCGCCCCACTGCCCAAATCCACACGATACTACTCGCCCAAACCAGCCCGCTACTGACAGGACTATTTACCCACGGATATCAAACGGACCCATTCTTCACAGGAGGAAATTCGCAGCAGTTCACAGCAGCCAAGGGAGTCTATTACGTAAAAGCCGGGACCGACCGCTGTCAGAGGTCCACTGGTGATCCCCGATTGATCCTAGGAGAGGGTTACAGGCGCGTTCGCCTGGGGGGTTATGGGCGCACTGACCCGCTACTGAAACAAGCCCTTTTATCCCAATGGTCTAGTGGTTGGGATTCTGACATGGTATCAGAGCAAAGGTCTCGGGTTCGAATCCCAGTGTATGCACTTCGGGCATCCCAGTGCGGGGGGGTGTCAGAGGTCCACTGGTGATCCCCGATTGATCCTAGGAGAGGGTTACAGGCGCGTTCGCCTGGGGGGTTATGGGCGCACTGACCCGCTACTGAAACAAGCCCTTTTATCCCAATGGTCTAGTGGTTGGGATTCTGACAACCGCATCTAGGTACCAGGGTACACACTGCTACGGGAATTACTATTACAAGAGGCGCACGACGGGGTTACCTCGGGACATTTCGGGGTAGAGAAAACACGGCAGCAGCTGCAGAAGTATTATTACTGGCTCGAAATGTTGACCAACGTGCAGCGACACGTGGCATCGTGTCCCACTTGCCTGATCATGAAGTCATCACGGAAGCGGCCGGTGGGACAGTTGCAGCCAATCCCACCTCCAGAGCGTGCTTGGCAGCAGGTGACGATGGACTTCATCACGGGGTTACCGGCCGAGGGGAGTGGAAATGACGCGATCCTGGTCGTCGTCGATCGACTGACGAGAATGACACACTTCACAGCCTACAAAAAATCAATCACAGTCGAAGAAACAGCCCACCTCTTCATCTCTACCGTCGTTCGGCTGCACGGGATACCAGCATCAATCATCAGCGACAGAGACACGAAATTTACCAGCAACTTCTGGCGGAACCTGTGGCAGCAGTTCGGCACGCGACTGCAGTTCAGCTCATCATACCACCCCAAAACCGACGGACAGACAGAACGGACAAATCAGACCATGGAACAGCTCATCAAGGCCACGTGTGAGGACCCGACCACGTGGGAACAGCTACTGCCACTAATCGAATTCGCGTACAACAACTCGCCATCCGCCACGACCCAAAAATCACCATTTTACCTAAACTACGGACAAGACCCAGCAGTACCCATGACCCCGAATCCCGACAACCCATTACCACGAGCACAACAGTTCGCTGGAATATTACAAGCAGCACGGACCCGGGTAGTAGACGCAACAATAAAATCGAACATCATCGCTAAACGCAACGCTGACCGCCACCGCAGACCTGTCACTTACCAGCCCGACGACTTAGTTTTACTTGACACCCAAAATCTCCGACTGCCCATCACCCCGAAACTCCGCCCCCGATACTGCGGGCCATTTCGCATAAGCCACATGCTAACACCTGTCACCGCCCACCTCCTACTCCCTGCTATCTGGTACGTCAGCCCCTCGTTCCACGTCAGTCTGCTTCGCCCTTACGTCCCGTCCACGAGCCAACTGCCACTCAATCGCCCAGCCAGCATGACAAGACCACCGACTGAACCAATCATCACCCCCGAAAAATCCCGAGTCACAGAGTTCACGACCCTCGAGGAGCCCGAAGGATCGAGTTCTTACTCCGCTGGAAGGACCGTACACCCACCGAAGACAATTGGGTTCCCCTGGACAGAATCGAAAACCACCCCGTCCTCACCGACTATCTGCGCAGCCGAAATTTCAAGGATGTACACACACTCTCGTAAGGAGGACCTTTTTAAGGGGGGGGGGGGTAGTGTAAGGAAAATTCCTTTTCCTTACTTCGCATTCCTGCTCAACGCGTACATCAGTATAGCACCATAGTCAGCACCGTTACCACTCGCAACCCTCGCATCGACAATCTGCCCGCCATCTTTGCACGTCGCACCCCGACCTCATGGCTTGGCGAGTAACCCGCGCTCCGGGCCTCCGCTTCGACACTTTTCCCAACCTCAGTCCCAGGCCCGTCATGCGACAACCAAAGTCCAATACCGTTACCACTGTAGTTCCGCTATATATTCTTCGCTCATGCCTTTGCTAATTGTGTCAAACTTATATGCTATAGTCTGTGTAGGCTGTAGTGGGGTAGCTCATATGGGGTATAACACTTTAGGGTTTCCTACTTGTACTCCTCATGCTGCTCAATGCAATCATTCCTCATTTTTTCACATGGTATAGCACAGTTTCCCTAGTGGGAACGTTTCCTAGGGCCCACCACTGAAATCGTTTTTTTTCCTGCCCGGAGCGCGCTTCCCTCCTGCCCGAGTCGCGCCCCGTGTGCCCTCCCTCCCGTCGCGTCCCTAGCCCTTAGCGGCCCGTCGTGCCCTCCTCAGGCCCCTCGCGGCCCCTTTCGCGGCCCCTCACTGCCCCTCTCAGGGCCCCGTCATCGCCGCTCTAGGCCCCGACACCGCCCCTCTAGGCCCGTCGCGACCCCTTCGCGGCCCCGTTGCTGCCCCTAGCGGCCCCGTCGCCGCCCCTCTAGGCCCCTCGCGGCCCTTTCGCGGCCCCGTCGCCGCACCTCTAGGCCCCATCGCCGCCCCTCCACGCCCCTCGCGGCCCCTTTGCGGCCCCGTCGCCGCCCCTTGTGGCCCCGTCGCCGCCCCCTCTAGGCCCCTTACGGCCCCTTCGGGGCCTCGTCGTCGCCTCTCTTGGCCCCTCTGCAACCCCGTCGCCGCCCCTAGCGGCCCGGTCGCCGCCCCTGGAGGCCCCGTCGCCGCCCTTCGCAGCCACCTCGCCGCCCTTAGCGGCCCCGTCGCCGACCCTAGTGGCCCTGTCGCCGCCCCTAGCGGCCCCGTCGCCGCTATTCGCGGCCCCGTCGCCGCCTCTACCGGCTCCTTCACCACTGAGCTGCCTAGCAGCTAAGCAGCCCAGCAGCTGAGCAGCCGAGCCACCACGCCGCCAGCCGCCCAGCAGCCGGGGCGCCCAACAGCCGAGCCGCCGAGCCGCCCAGCAGCCAAGCCGCCGAGCCGCCGCGCCGCCCAGCAACCGAGCCGCCGAGCCGCCCAGCAGCCAAGCCGCCCAACAGCCGAGCCGCTGAGCCGCCCAACCGCCGAGCCACCGAG